AAAATAAACAAAAAGTAAGCTAAGAATAACTGTTTAAATTTATTCTAAATATTAGAAGCTAGTTATTATATTTTTTTTAATTGATTTTTCAAGCTATTGTTGTATAGCAATATAGTACATATTTTTTAGATGCAAATCTTAGTTCAAATGCTATAATTGCATTTTTTTCAAAAATTAATTCTCTGAGTAATTAATTTATATTAGCTAATCAATCAAATATCTGATTATAAAACTATCTGAGTATAACTAGTAAAAATTTTATCTAAGCATATTTATTAATTATCTAGATTATCTGATAAGTAAATCTGTAAGTTACCTGAGTAATAATTTTTTAGATAGGTTCAATTACTAGTTATAAGTTATATAATTTAAAATTTTTAAGTCTGACTCAAGTTATAGAGTAATTAGTTACTTTTTTTTAGTTTCTTTATGTATTCTGTTTCTTTTATTATGTTACTATCTAACAAAGTTTTTATAACTAGATCTGGTGATCTTAGTATAGTGGTTAAGTTACTAGACCACTATACAAGAGATCTGGAGTTCAAATTCTACTGTCAACAAATTTCAATAATTACTTAGACCTTCTATATTCAACTTATAGTAAACCTTGTCTGTTTCTGAAGTTGTAATCTTGTAAATCATATTGTGCTAATATTAACTAGATATTAAAAGTGTAATATAATATTTAAAGAAGTATAACATTATACAAATAAATCTTAATAAGATCTACAGACAAGGGACTTACATAGTAGAAATCTCAAATTAGATAAAATAGTACAGATTTAATAGTTATATTAGTTAATACCTGATCTGATAAAAAAAATCTATAGCTGAAGAATATAATCAAGTAGATGTGAGTAAGTCTATTATACAAGGTCATATAACAACACTAACTTAACTTAATAGCTAACTAAATTAAATAAATCTGTATTGTAAAATATCTGAAAGCATAGATAACTAACTTGATAAAAGGCTATAGTAGGAACTGAGTTTGTACAAATATTGAACAAAAATATATGTAAGCTAAATTGGAATATAACATAGTATAGTTAAGTTCTACAATATTCTATTAATTAGAAAATTAGTAAAAGAGTACCTTGAGATAAAACCTAGGCTCTGAATTATAAAGTTTGTAAATATATGTTAGCTCAGATGTCTTTTTGAAAAAGTAGTATAAAGTTAGGCTGACTTAGTATAAATAGATAAAATACAAATAAGTTATAATATCAGAGAGTTTAAATAGAAAATCTTCAAATAAATTTCAAATATCACAACTAGAATAGAACCTTCAGGTGAATTACTTAAATAGATAATCTAAAGTTGTATATATGACTAGTTATATTCTTATAATATATATTATTATCTACTATCAAAAACTAATAAAATTTTAGCTGATAGCATTTGTATAAAGTAAAAAAAAGTTTTTATGACTTAAAGTAAGTTTTTCTTTATTAGTAGGCTTAGTGTTTTTAGATTAGTAACAATTTTTATTTTTTCTATCTTGAGACTAGGTATTAACTACTTATAGCTTAGTATTTACTAGATTAGAAAAGACCTAATATCTTAATAGAATTTGAAGTTACTTTTGTTAATCTAAGAATAATATCTTCTTTGAAAAGAGTTATTACAAGAAGAAAAATGACTTCTGTAGCAAATTGCATCTGAGTACTATTTGTAGCTAAGTAAGTTCAGAATTGTAATAAGAAGGAATATAGTTATAGATTAGTTTTAGAACTTATATAATTTGTATCTTATATATATCTTATAATATTTTCTCTAATAAATAACAAGTAAGATTATTCAAGTTAAAAAAAAATAGTTTTTAACCTAGTATATAATAATTTTTTAAAAACTTATATTTACTTTGATAATTTATAGTATGATTTTTAGAAACTAAAAAAGAACTTTTAATAATTAAAAATTAAACTATCTAAATAATATAATAAATTATTAATTTATCAATCAATATAATAGTAATATATCAGTATTTTAAAATTATTTTATTGATTGAACTAATGATAAATAAAATTATAGTTAATATCAGTATTTCAAAATTATTTTATTGATAAATTTGATGATGATAAATAAAATTATAGTTAATATTAGTATTTTAAAATTATTTTATTAATTGATCTAATAATAATAAATCAAATTAAAATTAATATTAACAATTTTTTGTCTCTAAATAACACTCATAGATATTATTTTGAGATAATATAGTATAAAAATAGGTACTATACACATAATACTTATTTATACATGCAATTATACATGTGTATGATATGCATATAGTGTTTTTAATTCAGAGTTTCAAATACTTAAAATTAATTATGATATGAATTTTGTAATCAAAAAATACTCATAAGTTTTTAATTCTTGCAAAAATTATAATAAAAAAAATAGACATCAACTAAATTAAAAGAATAAATAATAAATTTAACATTAATAATAATTTAAATAAATAATTAAAATAGGTTAAATAAATTAAATAACTATAATAAAATAAAATAAAATGATTAATTATAAAAAAAAAAATTAATAATTACAAAAAAAAAAGTGATTAAATAAATGAGTTAAATAATTGCAAAAAAAAAAATAAAAAAAGTAATTAAATAAATGAGGTAAATATGAATTAAATAATTACAAAAAAAAAAATAAATTAAATTATTTTTTTTAGTCTTTTTTAGACTTTTACTTAAAATTTTAAAAATAGTCTAATCAAAATTAGAAATAATACTACAGAATCTAATATGATATTTATTTTTAAAATTAGGATATATTCAAAAATATAAACAAAAAAGAAGAAAATATATAAAATGTAAAGAGCTTATTAATGACTTACTTAGAGTAGCTTATACATATGTTCAACAATATACTAAAATACAATTATCAAAAAAAAATATTTTGGTAACTCATATAAAGAGAGTAATACAATGAGCATATCTACATCTGTTTTAGTATTAGTATTAATATAATCTTCATCAAAATCTTATAAAGTTAACCATATTACAAAAAAAAAATAAAAGTTACTTGAATTAGTATTTGCAAGATCAATATTTTATTATAATCTATTTTTATCATTATTAAAACTTAAGCTTATTAAAGATTTATAGAAACAAGCAAGACTAGCATTTAAAATACCTAATAGAAAAAAACTTTTTACAAAATTACTAGATTATATTTTTAATGAAACAAAACATGATATTGAAAAATTAATTAACAAATATACAAATATGTATCTTATAACAGATAGTTAGTTAAGTTTAGTATAAGAATATTAGACTAATTATATTATAACAACTCCTAAACTAATTTTTTTTAAAGCTCATCTAACTAATGAAACATATCAAAATAGAGAAGCTATTGCTAATAATTTAGAAAAAGCAATTATTGAAATTGGGTTAATAAAAATTTCAGCTATAATTACAGATAATGTCTTTGTTATGAAAAAGGCTTAGTAATTATTAGAAGTAAAATACTCTAATATTATATTTTTAGACTGTATCACTTATAGTCTAAATCTTTTAATTAGAAGTATTATAAAAATACTATAGAGTTCTAATATTATAAAAAATGCCTATGCAATTGTTTTATATTTTTGCTTATATCAGATTCTAATAGCAATTTTAAAATAACATCAAATAGCAACTTATTAATAGAAAATATCATTAAAATATTCAGTTAAAACAAGATAAGGGTCTTCAGCAATATGCCTTAATTCTGTTTTACAAAATTAGCTTATGCTTAAATTAGCTATTATAGAAATAGCATATAACAATTATGATCTATTATCCTTAGAAACAATTTATAAGATTATTGAAGATAAAATATTTTGAAAAGATGCAGAAAGTTTTCTTTTAATATTAGATAAACTAACTGCTAATATTTCATTATTTGAGTTTGATATACTACAGTTGGCATTAATTTATCTTTGGTACTATGAATAACTAGAGTCTGATAGTAAGTAACAACATATTTTTGTAATTTTAACTTCAAATATACTAATATAAAATTATTGTTAAAATATGTCTTTCTGTTAGTAGGTGATAATATAAAAAAAATATTATAAGACTAGTGGAAAAAAATTTATTAATAGTTATATCAATTGTACATCTTTTAAATCCATATTATTACAGACAAAAACTTCTAGCAAATAGCATATCAGTAATATCACAATTTATTCAATGATATTATCCAGATAATGCAAGTATAATTTGGCAACAAATAACTGAATATAAAACTAAAATGAAAGTATTTAATCTTCAATTAGCATGGGAAACTATTAGTAAACTTGATTCTATTACATGGTGAAAACTAAATTTTGAGAATTCTACACTCAAATTATATAATATTGCAGTTAGAGTTTTTTTAATTCTCTCTTTATTAGCAGCTTCTAAATACAATTAGTTAGCTTTCTCATATATTTATAATAAAAAAAGAGCTCAACTAACCAATAAATATGTATTAAGATTAGTATATATTTATAGCAATTATAAACTTACTCACCTATAACAAGAATTTTCTGATATAGTAGAAGCTGAAATACAATTTAATAGTAAACAAGTATAACAAAATTTGAATCTAAGTAATAAAGTTAACTTATTAGATCTAACAGATAATGATTCAGGTAAAGAAGATTATTCAAATTTTGAAAAAATTAGTAAAGAAATGGATAATGATGAAACAGATAGTGAAGAAGCAAATAGTGAAGAAACAGATAGTGAAATAGGAAGTAAAGATAAAAAATATATATAATTGCGTAATGTAAACTGCTTATAACTTATATTTATATATGAATTCATATTGATATATCTGATATGTATAAACATTAATTAAGTATAAAATTCTTTTATATATTATCCTTTGAGATATTATAAATACTGCAGTTAAGTGTATATGTTATCCAATATCAGACCAACTATATATATCATACACATCATGCACACTATGCAAATTATATGATTTATGTTGTATAGTATACGTATAGTGCTTATCTCTAATATGATAATATTATATTTCATTACACATCTATTGTTAGATATATTTTTTGTTATACAGAATTTCTTTGAAATTTCATGAATATATATCTTATATATACCCTATAATTCGCAAAAAAAAGTTCTAATAATTTTAGATCCTTTACTGTCTAAGTCTATGAATAAATTCTGATCTGATTTTTTATTTAAAAAGGTTTTTGCTGTATCCTTTACCCTCTTCATAATAATAACTAACGAATTATAGGATAAAACATTTAACAAATCATAATAAATATAATCTATAATAAATAAAAAGTTCATACACTCAAAATAATATTTTTTTTTTTTTTTTTTTTTTTTTTTTTTTTTTTTTTTTTTTTACTTTATACAA